AATAAGAACTATCACCATACATGTGTGAACATACATACATATGAACATCATAGATGTATGAAAAGAACAATGACCATGCATGTATAAAACAACTCTTGTCAATAAATGGAGGCAGTGAAATTCTCTTGATTACCATGTGTATGCACAAACCTTTTTCTGAATCAGATGTAGACTGTGGTCACTACGACCACATCAGTGAATTGAACTGGGCTACAGCATGCTCTCAGACATTGAAATTGGACTGTATGTGCTCTCCTTATTTTTAAAATGATTCCTGGCATGAGTCTGCCCCAAGCTGATTAATTCTATTTCCTGGATTCTGGAGTGTGGTCCAGTAACCATTCCCAATAGGCAACGTGATGCTGCCACCCTGTTTAAGAGGCAATGAAAGTTAACTAGTATGGACTTGCTTTACATTTGACCTCAGCATCAGTGATTTGCCCAAATATGTTTAAATTACTTATCTCAGTGTATAACAAGATGTATAACTAGCCCTTAACAGTACTGGTAGGAGTAGAAAATACTCCATGCTTATGTTCAGGATGAGTGAATGGAACAGACAACTTCAGTGTTTGCATTTCTTGGTTTGCATGTTTAAAAACACATTCGCGTCTTTGAGATAGAGATGATAGGAATTCCTGTAAGCTCCTTGTCATCTCTTCTCTCTCCTCCTAAAAAGTAAAAAGGGAAAGAGTGATCTATATACAGGCTTCTGTGCTCATTTTGCCATGCATATCTGCAATTCGTGTAAATTGCCATAGCTTTTTTGAGGTAAATGGTCTGAGACTGGCTTACATTAGCTGAGGACTGGACCACTGTTTTTCACCTTGCTCTGCTAAGTGAAGGCAGGAGCCTCTCACAGGTTATTGAATATATAAGACCCTTATGTGTAACTGACCCCGAGAACTCACCTTCCTTAAAAGAAAATCCCAGCCGTCCTGAAATGAATTACTGGTTAACTACTATTAATATGCCATAGAGCTGGAGAGTCGCCTACAACACTACAAGATCAATAACAATATTTATCATGCATCCTATCGATCTTCTATGAAAGAGTGGGTCGTATTTCACACTGTGTACATAGTGCAAAAAAAGTAGCATCAGTTCTCCACAGGAATTAGTAGAAAAGAGCTTGGAAAGGCACAACGGCGTGAAGCGATATTGTTGTCTCATTGCCAGAGTACTGCTCACAGAAGGAAGGCCTTGGACAGCCCTGCGTTGTAGGCTCAATGTCCCAAAAACTAAGTGAGGATTTTAACAATCCTGCATTTGTTTTACTCTTACATTTCTGCTCCTTCAGAAAATTGTGCCTCAGAAGTTTGGGGCAAGGTTATACGTGCTGTTGTTACCCCAGAGCCCTTCCCAGCTGTTTCGTGGAGCTGGTAAAGGCAGTCAAGACGTGCGCAGGCCCTGCAGAGCCGTGTTGTTTTAAAAGGGCAGATGGAGGGGCGAGAGTGGGAGTCTGGCAGCACAGCAGCAGTTGCCTTGTTGAGAGCTTAATTCCTGTCCAAAATTGCTCCCCTTAGAGCAATGAACCTCGGGGCTGCCCCTCATGTGCAGGTGTTGTAATGCGGCAGGCTCTGAAGCAGGGGAGGACCCTCTCCTTGCCAGCAGAGCTATTCAGCTGTGTTGAATTACATTTGGAGAAAAAAAAACCACAAAAAAACACAACTGAAAGCTGCCTTCTTGACCTTGGTATCCTCTCCTTGCAGGCAGAAAATATAGCCAAAGACTAACAGCCTCCTTTTAGTGGGATACCTTGCTCCGTGAGCAGTCGGAGGTGAGGCCTGTGGGAAGGCTCACCATATTGCCAGGAATTACCATACCAAAGACCCTCTGAAGGAACCCCATGACACAGAACTGCAGTTGCAGCCATTGCTTAAAGTTGATCTGCCCTATTCTTCAGCTGTAATGGTGTTTAAGGATGGTGTAGCCCAGAAATAGTGTGCTTGCCCATCAGCTGGCTTGCAGACTTTGGCTGGGTATAAGCAGCACGAATACAACAAAAAAACTGCTGGATTACAGTTAAGATGAAATCTTCTAGGGGCAGGTCTCTGAGAGCCTTGCTTTACTCCAAGGACAATTTGGCAGTGCTCTTTGGCTGTTAATTCTGCTCCTGTCAGCAGGTAGCACTTCTCTGACTGTACCCCATGAAGATACTGGCTGGTCTGACTGGCATTTCTTTCTGAGCCTGCATTGCTCAGAAAAAAAAAAAAAAAAAAAAAAAAAAGTCAAGGCTTGCAGGGGAGTTACTATTCATTAGTAGTGAAGTTTTTTTCCCCTCCATGTATTTTGCAGTTGCATGTGTTCTGCACACGTAGTATATGTAAAATGTATGCACTAGTAGTAGATGACAAGATGCAGCCAGGCTGAGTGTATAGGAGCGCAGGGCTGGATTGCAGCATGGCTTTTGGCCCTGTGCATGCCAGAGTCCTTGAAGAACTGTGAATTTTGGCAACCTGGTTCAAGACTGGGGGCTACTGTAGAGTAACCTCTGGGGTGCTTTGACCTGTCTGGCCTCTACCTGTCTGGCATAAATACAGTGCCTTGTATAAAATAACTGCTTTCTCTCAGGTGAAGAACAGAAAAATGCTACAGTTGCAAAAAAAAAAAAAAAAAAAAAAGACACGTCACAAAGCATGATGTCAAAGCTAAACTCACTCCTGAGTACAGGAAGAAAATGTAAGTTGTGGCGTATGTTTGTTTTCTCCTACTTTTTGACAGATATTGCCAGGCTGCACACTCCTCTATTCTGTGTGTAAATATGAGAGATACTCTTAAAACAGCCAGCTGGCTGGGTTCTTGCTCACTTAGAGCTGAGTGGCAGAAAAAGCAGATGCAGGAGGCTCTGTTTGCTAATAAACAAGTAGCTCATTGATGTAAGCAAAATGTCAGCAGCAGCAGAATAGGGACAGGGGCACGGTATAATTTAGTGACATGAAATAATGCTATTCATGATTGCAGCTGAAGAAGTGAAACGAAACTGTATTGTCAATGGCAATAATTGATAAAACTGATTGTTGGATCTAGTGTGCAGCTTAATACATAGTACTATGGAAAGTATTACCCTGGCTGTGAGAGGCTGGCAGAAATGCCACTGTACCCTTCTTACAGATAAGTAACTAAGGTATGGAGATACAGAGAAAGGAACAAAATGAAGAAGGCAGCACCTGCCTGACATTTCTGTTAGGGATGTTATTTTATAGGTACCTGTTGTCTGTGCTGCTTCATCTCCATACTGATAGACCTTGAGAACCCATCAGCATGCTTTAAGCCACAAAACAGCAGCTTCTTGCAGAAGGGATCATTATGCTGCAGAAACCATGTAGAGTAGTGCAGTGCAGGATTACAGGGATGTGAGGTAGGACCCGAGCTACATGGGCTTTACAGTCATTCCCTTGTTTAATATGTAAACGATGTGGCCAGCAGGGCTAGGGAAGTGATTGTCCCTCTGTATTCGGCTCTGGTGAGGCTGCACCTCGAGTACTGTGTTCAGCTTTGGGCCCCTCACTAGCAGAAGGACAACGAGGTGCTCGAGTGAGTCCAGAGAAGGGCAACAAAGCTGGTGAGGGGTCTGAAGAACAAGTCTTATGAGGAGCGGCTGAGGGAGCTGGGCTTGTTCAGCCTGGAGAAGAGGAGGCTCAGGGGCGACCTTATTGCTCTCTACAGGTACCTTAAAGGAGTGTGTAGCGAGGTGGGGGTTGGTCTGTTCTCCCACGTGCCTGGTGACAGGATGAGGGGGAATGGGCTTAAGTTGTGCCAGGGGTGGTTTAGGTTGGATGTTAGGAAGAACTTCTTTACCAAAAGGGTTGTTAGACATTGGAATGGGCTGCCCAGGGAAGTGGTGGAGTCACCATCCTTGGAGGTCTTTAAAAGACGTTTAGATGTAGAGCTCAGTGATATGGTTTAGTGGAGGACTTGTTAGTGTTAGGTCAGAGGTTGGACTCGATGGTCTTGGAGGTCTCTTCCAACCTAGATGATTCTGGGTGATTCTGTAAAAGTATATTCAGGATGTGGTTAGACATGGTGAAGAAGGTTGTAGCAGCTGTTTGCTGTATCTGGCTTGGCTAGGTAACTGATGGAGTGTGTCAGAGCTTGGCTGCAAAACAGTACCAAGGAGCACCTTTCTTTTTCATCTTTGGAAGTATCACAGGGCACCAGTTAATACTGGAGTAAAGAAAACAGGACTTCAGACATCCTCTGAGAAGCTCCCCTGCCTTAGGGAGAGGTGGTAGAGGTAGACCTCTGCTGAGGAAGGCTGTGGGTATGCAACTGGGTGGCTTTCAGTCCACAGGCTCTCAAGAGTGCAGGCGACAAGTCATGAATAATCCCCCCCTCCTCCTCTTTTGCCAGGGGTGTAAGAGCTTGTTCTGCTCTGTGATTCTGTAGGCAAACAATAGCTAAATTTGGGTACGGACAAGAACTGAGGGCCTTACTGCTCAGCATGAGCATGTGGGCTGCTGGGGCACCTTGGCTGATTGCACTGTGTTCCCTACTGAAGTTTCTCTTGGCATTGTGGCTGTTTGCCTGTTCCAGAGGCATGCCTAGAAAGCATCCTCTTGCCCATAGGATGCCAAGCAGAAAGGGCGGTGAAGAAAGCATTGTCATTCTGTAGTTAGAGCCTTTCTATTTCCAAGGGATTAAGAAGTATGGCACACAGTTATAATTTAAAAATAATAGAAGATTGCGTCCTTAGCTAGTATAAATCATCATCAGATGAGCTTATGTTGCTTAAGGACTCAGCACACTGTCTTAACCTTTGGTGAGTGTTGTCTCTTCTTTTGCAGTCTGTAGCAAGTACAGGTATTCTCAAGCTTTGAGTAAAAACCTCAGACCTCCTGATCTCCCCCCAAACATGCAGCAGTTTTTCAGCTCCCACCTCTTACTACTCATTACCATCTGTCTGGCCTTCAGGAGAAGCAGTAGCTTACCAGAAGCTGAAAGGTAATGCTCTTTATGGAGCTTCCTGTTTCATAATTGCTTGTGTTTTTCTTTTCCAGAGGGACGGATGCTCATTCAGGACATCTCTTCCATCCCCAGCAGAGGGCACTTGGAGAGCACGTCTGATTTGGTCGTGGACTCCACCTACTACACCAGTTTTTACCAGCCATCCCTGTATCCTTACTATAACAACCTGTACAACTACTCCCAGTACCAAATGGCAGTGGCTGGTGAGCCTTCCTCAAGTGAGACAGGGGGTGCAATTGTAGGGCCGGCCATGAAAAACAGCCTTCGAAGCCTCCCAGCAACATACATGCCAAGCCAGTCAGGAAAACAATGGCAGGTATGATGTTACAGAGGTATTAAGTGGCAGAGTGAGATGGAGGATGAGCTGTTTCTTAGGCCTGATAATGACTTCGTGTGTATGGTTTCATGATGGTGCAAAACCAGAACTAGAGTACAGGATGGTATTAGCAAACAGCCAAAATGAGTGGTTTTGATGTAGTACAATGAAAACAATGGTGTAGGTATAGGTAGGCCACCGCAGACATGGTTGAAGGGCACCCACTTGACGTTATGTTCTGATTTACATCGTAGTAGATTATGAGCTGTTCTCCAGAATCACGCAGCATAACATCCCGGGAGCTTCAAGCATCATTTCTTAGAGGCTTTGCTCTCCAGGAACCTGTTTGTTTTAATATATTTCAGCTTTCACCTCCAAAGCAGTGGAGTGACCCATCCCATGAGGCCCAAGGGATCATGTTATTCTGCAGGGGTTGACGGCAGTCATTTGAACATGGTGTAGGGTGTTACTAAGGGTGTGTTCTGGTAATGTCCTCTTCTGGACTTGGGATTTCAGCTTGGGTAATTAAAGTCAAAGGCTGTGTCTAACAGGTTAGCAGCAGAGCTTTTTATTCCCCTTGGTATTGTGTCAGTTAAGGGATAAGTCCAAGTGAGGCATCTTACTCTAGGACTAGGATAACCATGCCCTCCAACTCACTACCAGTAGAAGACTGGAGGAAAGAGGAGACCTATCAAAGCAGGGGATTGCTGACAAAATAGGGGAAGTCTTTCCAGTGACCCTGAGTGCCATGTTTGGCCTTGGGCTGCAGTTGTGCCTTTTCTGTCTGAAATTAAACTTGGAAGTTGCATCCTTTGAGCCTGCATATGTCTGTGTCTTGTCTGAGGGCGCACAAAGGCAGACCTCTCCTGTAGGGCATCAGAAGAGGGCAAGGTTCCATCTCCAAAGGCTCTGCTGTGAAACCACACAACACAGAAAGATGAAATGTCCACCAAAGCCTCCTTTCTGACGGGAAGAGTTGGTGTTTCCCTTTGCTGACAGAATTTCTCTGGCGATTCTGGCACAGGGAACAACTTTCAAAGAGCATTTCAGCTTCTGATACACAGAAGCTGGAGCTGAGACCATGGCCATTGCAATTACTGCCAGTCCACATCGCCTTAAGTGAGGCTTTACCAGCATTAGACACCTTTTTTCATGAAAAGGTCCTTCTGAAAAGGAGGGGTCTTGTGGGGCAACAGCCGCTGGGGCCATGCATGAACCATAGAATCACAGAATGGCTCAGGTTGGAAGGGACCTTAAATATCACCTAACTCCAGCCTGTCTGCCATAGACAGGGTTGCCACCCACTAGATCAGGTTGGCCAAGTCCCCATCCAGCCTGGCCTTGAACACCTCCAAGGGTGGGGCATCCACAGCTTCTCTGGGCAGCCTGTGCCAGTGCCTCACCACCTCTTCATTCTGAGTGAAGAATTTCCTCCTTATATCTAGTCTACATCTATACTCTTTTAGTTTAAGACCATTCCCCTTTGTCCTATCATTATCTCCCCAAACAAAGAGTCCTTCTCCATCTTTTTTATAAGACCTCCTTGAGTATTGAAAGGTCACAGTGAGGTTCTCCCTGAAGCCTTCTCTTCTCCAGGCTGAGTATCTCCAGCTCTCTCAGCCTTTCTTCATAGGAGAGGTGCTCCAGCCCTCTGGTTATCTTTGTAGCCCTTCTTTGGATGCATTTTAACAGGTTTCATTCTAACATGTTTCTAACATGTTTCTTGTGCTGAGGGCCCCAGACCTGGATGCAGCACTTCAGGTGGGTGGGACCTCACAAGGGCAGAGCAGAGGGGCACAATCCCCTCCCTCCACCTGCTACCCACTCCTCTGTTGGTGCAGCCCAGCACACAGTTGGCCTTCTGGGCTGCAAGCACACACTGCTGGCTCATGTCTAGCCTTTTGTCCACCAGAACCCCCCAAAGCCCTTCTCTTCAGGGCTGCTGTCAATGAGTTCTTCTCCCAGCTTGTACTCTGGTCTGGGATTGCCCTGACCCAGGTGCAGCACCTTGCACTTGGACTTGTTGAACCTCATTAGGTTCACATGGGCCCACTTCTCCAGCCTGTTCAGGTCCCTTTGAATAGCATCTCTTCCTTCTTTGGTATCCACTGCACCACTCAGCTTGGTGTCATCTGCAAACTTGCCGAGAGTGCACTCAATCCCATTGTCTGTGTCATTGATGAAGATACCGAAAAGCACCGGTCCCAAGACAGACCCCTGAGGAACTACGCTTGTCAGCAGTCTTCACCTAGACATAGAGCCATTGACCACTACTCTCTAGGTGTGGCCATCAAACCAATTCCTTATTCCCCAGTTGGTCCACCCTTCAAATCTATATCTTTCCAGTAGAGATTAGGATGTTGTGTGGGACTGTGTCAAAGGCCTTACACAAGTCCAAGTAGATGACATGAGTCCTGCCTTGTCGACTGATGCAGTCATTACATCATAGAAGGCCACCAGATTGTGCCACCAGGCACAATGTACCCTTAGTGAAGCCATGCTGGCTGTCCTGGATCACCTCCTTGTCCTGCATGTGCCTTGACATTGCCTCTGGGAGGATCTGTGCCATGATCTTCCCAGGCACAGGGAATAGATCTGTAGATCATAGATCTGTAGTTCCCTGGGTCTTCCTTTCTAACCTTTTTAAAAATGGGAATAATGTTTCCCTTTTTCTAGTCATTGGGACTTCACCTGACTGCCATGATTTTTCAAACATGATGGAGAGGGGCTTGGCAACTGCATCAGCCAGTTCCCTCAGGACCCTGCTGATGCATGGCATCAGGCTTTGTAGACTTGTAGTTAAGTTGTGTCAGGAGGTCCCGAACGTGCTCCTCACTTAGAGTGAGAGGGACTCTGCACCCCTAGCCCCCATTTCTGTACTCTGTCCAGGGCACATGGCCCTGTTTCCACTGTTTGTGCATGTCTTTAGCCTAAGTTTGACCAGCAGATTCTTATTCAACTATACCTTCCCTGCTTGATTTATTACAGGTGGGAATAGAGAGCTCTTGCACTCCAAGGAAAATATCCTTAAACAGTTGCCAGCTCTGATCAGATCCTATGTTTCTAATCAATTGGTCTGCTTGTTCCCTTCAATATTGATCCCTACTACTGGTAGGATGGAGGAAAACTCTACCTGTGTACCAGATCCTTCAGTCAATCGCCCAAAAGCCCTAAAGAATTTTAAGATCATGGCTTTGCAGCAGACTGCATTTGTTGTTATGTCCTTGTCCATTTAGTGTTGTTTCATGTCCCCTTCTCAAAATGAGTACAACTGTAGGGGGAAAAGAGCTGTCTCCCTTCCTTCCACTGTGTTGAACCACACCACAAAGGTGGCTTCACCACCGTTTCAGTTAGATTAGTTGGTAGCATCTTCTGTAGTTGCTGAATTTGGTCACCAGACCAGGGGGAAAAATAGTCAAGGCAAAAGTGTGAATAGGATTTTGTGTGTGGTAATGAAGCAAGGTGCCAATGCTTTTTTAAGTTTAATTTTGGTTCATTGGGTTAATGTAGCACATCATAACAGAGCATTTCAGATTGAAAGTTACTTCTTCTGAAGCTTTTGCAGGATGTTACAGTAGGAAGAGCCTACTGTGGAGCTGATGATAGGAGACGTCACAATACAAATGAAAGTTTGCAAGATTTGTGCTGTGAAAGTTCTTGCAGGGTTAGTCCCATGCTTCGCAATTCCTCCAAAAAATAGAAACTTCTTTGATTTTATTTTCTTGAAAAAAAATGAAAATAACTTATATGTATTATTTGTATGGATAGTGCACAGTGTTTGAGGAAGGGACCCATGAAAATATGTTATAATACATTGAACCTAGGATTGAAAGTGGTGTTCTTTTAGTTCTGTTATCATCATCACAAAGAGATTCTTCACTGAGAGGGTTGTTGCACACTGGAACAGGCTCCCCAGGAAAGTAGTCACTGCATCAAGCTTGTCTGTGATTCTGTGATCTTATATTCTATGATCTTATACTCTAATTTGAAGCTAAACTGTATGTGTAAGAAGTCCAGACCTATAGGGCCCTTTGGCTCATTGTTTCTTGACATCTACCTAACTTCTGACATTTATCATTAGTTTATAATCTGAGTGAGTATCCCATGTGTTTTATATATACAACTATACTTGTTTTTGTGGACACCCCTTAAAGAAATAAATGCAATTATGTATTTTCCATTCATTTTATTCTTGTCTTGCAGAATCTGTAAATAACTTGTAGTTAAGCACCGCTCAAATTAGTGGGATAGCACAGAAGATGTGATTGGGGGGGGGGGGGGGGGGGGCGAGGGAGGGGGACTGTTTTACCAGCAGGCTCAAAGCAGTGGGTGTTTATTCTCACTTTGTGGGATGTATAGTGTAGTTCCATTCATCTCTGTGTGAATTTACTTTCACCTGAGGTTTGAATGTATCCTGGGCAAACCTTTTGGGATCTTTGAGTGCTGTTCTGATGAGAAGTCTGTGCAGAGGGCATAGAGGCAGTACGTCCTGCCTGCCACAGTGACATCTCCCCAGCTTCTAAATGGCCTGAACCCAGAACCCGTGTCTCCTGCTCAGTAGTGTGGAGTGTGGTTCAAGGTCAGTGTACCTTAAAAGATTTTTCTTAGAGACTGATCTGCAAGAAAGGTTGTTATTGCTGGAAGAGTTACGAATCATGGGATTTGCGTGGTATTATGGCAGCATAACATTGCACAAATAATCATAAAAAGTTTTACAGTGAGAGCTAGACTAGATAATACTTGATGGCCGTGGGTGCAGTGATGCTGAGACTGTAAAACCCTTCATGGCCCTGAAGAGGTTTTGTTGTAAGGAGAATGAGCTGCTGCATATGGTTAAACGTTGATTCTGCACACAGAAGGCTATCAGCAAGGCAAGATTGTAGAAATGTGGTACTTAATGGAGAAAGATGAATGAGTTTCACTGCCAAGTACAGTAAGGGGTTTCAGGAGAGTCTCAAAGCACAATCCACAAAGAGGAGCCTTGCTTAGACCTTGAAGGG